CTTGCAGGCTTAGCAGGAGCGCCCTCAGCCCCAGAGGCAAGGCTGCTGGTGGGGAAGGGCTTTAGAAGGGATTAGTTATCTCATTTGCATATGCTGTTGCTTCCCCGCCCCCAAGTGCTCTCCAGGGAATGGCAGGTGCATGTGTATGTGTGGGGAGGGGAGGGGGAGCTTTGAGCCCTGGCTTTAGAGACAAGGACTATATCCTGTATCCCAAGTGCAGCGCTACTTAGTGGCTGCCATTACTCAGCCTGTTTCCTTGTTTGTAGACAAGTGGAAGGGAGCTCAAGTGTTATAATTCTGTTAGTAGGATGGTGTGTGTGTGTGTGTGTGTGTGTGTGTGTGTACGCATGTATACATGTGTGTTCCAGTACTGGGCCTTGAACTCGGGGCCTCTGGCTCTCACTTGGCTTTTCCAGCCCAAAGCTGGTACTCTGACCACTTGAGCCACAGCTCTACTTCCAGCATTTTTTTGGTGGCTAACTGAACATAAGTGTCTTACAGGGGGCTGGGAAGGTGGCTCAGTGGTAGAGCGCTTGCCTTGCACACATGAGGCCCTGGGTTCAATTCCTCAGCACCACATAAGCAGAAAAAGCCAGAAGTGGCGCTGTGGCTCAAGTGGTAGAGTGCTAGCCTTGAGCTGAAGAGCTGAGGGACAGCGCCCAGGCCCAGAGTTTAAGACCCACAACTGACCAAAAAAAGAATCTCACAGTTTCCTGCCCTGCCTGGCTTGGAGCCATGATCCTCAGACCTCAGCCTCCTGACTTGCTAGGATGTCAGGCATGAGCCACCGGAGCCTGGCTTAGGATGATTTTTTGTTTGTTTGGACTTGTGTCAAGATGGACGCTCCTGAGGTCTGTCCACCACGCCCATTCAGATCAGCTCCGGGCTTGGCCTGTGCCCAGCATGGAGGGCAGGGGCAAAGGATCCACTCGGGCTCCTAGGCCGGCTTTGTGAGTGAGCTGCGGGCAGAGCCGTCTGAGGGGGGGGGAGCGCCTGCCTTCCGTTCTCACTTGGATGCTTGCTGCTTTGTGACATGGCCTCCAACTGGCTTCCAGAGTGACAGGAATGGATGGGCGCCTGTCACCTCATTGCTGGGGATCCTTGGCACGGCTTCTGTGGCAGCCCATGTTTCCTGAGTGGCTCTCTGCCAGGTTGGCATCTTGGTGGTTGGGCTGTTCCAAGATCTGATGGGCTTGAAGTGGGGGGGGCGAGCATGCATGCAGTCTCCTCCCTACCCTGTGTACCCAGTACACACACACAAGCACACATATGCACAACACGTGTGTGCACACCCACTTCAGGGCGTCCCCTGGCACCCTAATCTGCAGTCACCAGTGCCTAGACTTGTGCCTGATCGTGCAGCGCCGAGGCAGGAGCAGAGCCCCGCCCCTGAGTGGCATTGTCTGGGCAGGGTTTAGATAAAAAGACCGAGATGCCCCGTCCAACCTGGCAGACCAGGGCTGCATGAGCCAGGGAGGGCTGTGAAGGAACAGAGGGAAGGCAGTGCACCGGGGCAGGGACTGGAGGAGGCTGCATGGAGCAGGGAACTATGGGGACAGATGGAGGGTACTCAGGGCTGAGGGGCCAGCCTGTGTGAGAACAGACAGCAAAGATCGAGTGTCCTGGGGGCCGGGACCAGCCTCTGCCCAGTGTGAAGAAGAGAAAGCAGAAGTCGGTATTGTAAAATGAGTTCCGGGCCACACTGTACAGATTCTTCAGCACCAAAATGAGGAGGCTGTGGTTCAGTGGGAAGGTACTGGGTAGGAAGTGCTGGGTGGCAAGATACTAAGTGGAAAGGTGCTAGTTAGGAAGATGCTGGGTGGGAAGGTGCTAAGTGGGGAGGTGCTGGGTAGGAAGGTACTAAGTGGGAAGGTGCGTACTGGATGGGAAGGTACTAAGTGGGGAGGTACTGGGTGGGAAGGTGCTAACTAGAAAGGTACCAGGTAGGAAGGTACTGAGTGGGAATGTGCTGGGTGGAAAGGTGCTAGTTAGGAAGGTGCTAAGGTACTGGGTGGGAAGATGCTGGGTGAAAAAGTGCTTGGTGGGAAGGTACTGAGTCGTTGACCATCCTCACAGTCAGAGACAGTGAGCGGCCTCTTTGTGCCCACAGGCCTGCCAGCCTCTGCCAAGTCCCCATCTGCCCCCTGCCTGCATTCCCTGAATCTCCCGTCCTCCCCTCTTTTATCCCAGAATGATGGACTCCATCCACCAACAGATAGATGCCCCAAAGGTTCTCTGTGGCCCGGGGATGTCCTGGAGCTGGACAGCGTCCAACCCAGACCCAGCCTGTCCTGTCTCCCCATGACAGGGAGTGCCGAGGGCCGCGTCCCGCTGTGGTCAGACTAGATGCCGGCCTGGACGGCAGCCCTGCTCTGAACAGAACGAAGCTGGACTGATGCGTCCAGAGGCTCCTGGGCCCCCATGGGGCTGCCTCGGGAACAGGGAGCACCAGCCTCACTAGCCAGAGGCCCTGGGGGAGCACTGCAGTTTATGACCTCCGGATTGGATGGACAGGGATGAGGAAATGGTGTCACAAATGTCCCCCTTCACCTGTAGGCTGTCCCCTGAGGGGACAAAATGGAAAAGGATGGAGGAGACTTATGTGTTCACTTTTGGCCCCAGGAGGAGCCTAGCTGGCTCATTGGAGTCCGGATGTGCGAGGGGGGCCCCTCCTGGCCTCCCTTCTGGCCTCCCTCCTGCCTCTGAGTTGGGTACTGCGAGCCTGTGGGGGGGGGTCACAGGAGCCAAGAAGACTGGGGATGCTGGGGGATTAGGGAACTTTCCCAGGCCTGCCAATCTTTCTTCAGCCCTGGTCAATTCTCTGGCCACAAATCACAAGGAAACCATGGCGTAAGCACCTTGGGGAGCCTAATGGAGTTCTGGGAAGGCCATAAAAATTCAATCAGCCGGCCTGGTGCCATCTGAAGATGGAGTGGGGCTGATGTGGGGGCAGGGCCCTAGGGCCAGACAGACACCCCACCAACCCAGCCACCAGCCTCCTGAGCCCCTGCTTAACTGTCCTCTGGGCGCCTCCTGCCCCAGAGGTCAGCATCCTGGGGGGATGTGGCAGGGACAATAGAGAGCAGACAGAGCCAGTCTGCAGAGACCCCCACACTCATCAGCATTACAGGGACAATGTCAGGAGTTCAGGGAGCCAAGAGCTCATGATGGAAAGAGAAGAGTAGCTGGGCTGGGCATTGGCTCACCCCCCGCCCCGCCCGACCCCCTTAATCCTAGCTACTCAGGCTGAGATCTGAGAACAAAGGTTCAAAGCCAGCCCAGGCTGAAAAGGTCCATGGGGACCCTTATCTCAATTAATCACCGAAAAGCCAGAAGTGGAACTATGGCTCAAGTGGCAGAGCACCAGCCTTGAGCAAAACAAAGCAAAGAGACAGCGCCCAGGCCCTGAGTTCAAGCCCCAGGACCAGGACGCAAGCGCACACAATGACACTCGCAAAGTGTGACTTACCCACTCAGCCTTAATTGCCACTTCAGAAAACAAGAGCAATCACAGGAGCCTTTTCAGAGAGCTGTTGAAAGACAGCAAAACAGACCTGCCCAGAGCGCGTAGCATGGGGTGTGCTATTATTCTGTTTGTTTGCATGTAGGCTCCCACTCAAGTTTCAGCGCCTTGCAGTGCATTCTGGAGCTCTGCAGGGCTCCGCTGTGCAGCAGGGGACTTGGCCAAGGGCAGAGTTCTGTGCAGAGAAAGGAATTTCAGTCGGGGCTGGAGCCTGGAGGCTGTGGGTCCCGATGGCTGCTCAGTCTGGGTACCACCAACTTCCCAGGCCAGATGAATGGTTGCTGGGGCCTGTTCTGTGCATGGCGGGGTTGCACCCCTCCCCTTCCTAGATGCCATTAGCTTGGAGAGTCCCTAGGGGGCACAGTCCCCCAACATCCCTGTTAAGAACTTGGTTAAGCCCGATGCTAGTGGCTCAGAAGGCTGAGGTCTGAGGGTCGTGGTTCGGAGCCAGTCTGGGCAGGAAATGCCATGAGACTTTTATCTCTAACCCCCCCCCAAAAAAAAAAAAGCTGGAAGCGGAGCTGTGGCTCAAGTGGCAAGAGTGCTAGCTTTGAGCACAAAAGCTAAAGGACAGAACCCTGAGTTCAAGTCCCAGAACCAGAACAACAAAAAGAACCAAGTTGGGGGCTGGGAAGGTGGCTCAATGGTAGAGTGCTTGCCTTGGATGCATGAGGCCCTGAGTTCGATTCCTCAGCACCACATAAGCAGAAAAAGCCGGAAGTGGTGCTGAGGCTCAAGTGGTAGAGTGCTAGCCTTGAGCTGAAGAGCTGAGGGACAGCACCCAGGCCAGAGTTCAGGCCCCACGACTGACCAAAAAAAAAAAAAGAACCAAGTTAACTGAACACTGGTGGCTCACACCTGTAATCCTAGCTAATTGGGAGGCTGAGATCTGAGGATCAAGGTTCAAAGCCAGCCTAGACACACAAATCTGAGAGACTTTTATCTGTAATTAAACAGGCTTAGATGGTAGAGCACCAGTCTTGAGTGGAAAAGCCATACAAGAATGTAAGGCTTGGGGAAATGGCGCTGTAGCTCAAGTCGTAGAGCGCTCGCCTTGAGCTGAAGAGCTGAGGGACAGCGCCCAGGCCCAGAGTTCAAGCCCCACGACCGACCAAAAAAAAAGAATGTAAGGCTTGGGGCTGGGAAGGTGGCTCAGTGGTAGAGCGCTTGCCTTGCATGCCAGAGGCCCTGGCTTCGATTCCTCAGCACCACATAAGAAAAAAGCCGGAAGTGGCGCTGTGGCTCAAGTGGTAGAGAGCTAGCTTTGAGCAAAAGAAGCTCAGGGACAGCGCCCAGGCCCTGAGTCCTGGACCCAGGATTGGCCAAAAAAAAAAAAAAAAAGAATGTGAGGACTTGAGTTCAAGCCTTCGTTCAGGTACCAGAAGAAGGGAGTCCTAACAGTGGGTGAGGGATCTGGGACCAGAAGCAGGGGCTGAGGTCTACCCTAGAGAACTGCTTTCCTTGCAGGGCAGAGCCAATGGCAGCATCCACCCTCTGCAGGGTCCCTACGCTGCTCCTCAGCCTCCTGGTGCTGTTGGAGGGGGGCCTGGCAGGCTCGCTCAGCCCGGCCCGGAACCTGCCTGAGATTCACAGGGACCCAGGCTCTGTGCTATGGACACGGGCCAGCCATCACCGCCGGCGGGGCCCGGGCATGCCCAGCCGGGCTCAGGATGGAGCTGTGGTCACCACCCCCAAGCAGGCCTCCAGGCTCCCTGGGGGGCAGCTGCCTGGACAGAGTCCTGCAGGCCTGCTGCTGGACAAGGAGCTGTTCCTGGGACTGGCGTCACCCTATCCCGAGAAGGAGCCCCGGCCTCCAGGGTGGGAGAGGGCGAAGAAACGTGGCAGGGAGCACAAGAGACGCAGAGACAGGCTGAAACCACACCGAGGTAGCTCGGGGACTGGGGAGGATTGGGAGGGGCGATGGCCCAGGGCAGGAGGGGGAGGCCAACTGGGTCTCCTGGTAGCTCCAGACAATAAGTACCCAGAAGAGTGGAGGGATCTCAGAGAGGTGGTGTAGGTAGTGGAGGAGGCAGGAGAGTTAGATCCTCCTCCTGTGTCAGGAAGTTCTGCCTTGTATCTGACCTAAATCTATCCTACTCTAAGTGCTAGGTATAGACAGAACAGATCATCGCTGTTCCAGCCTCTCATTCAATCAATTGTAGAACAGAGTGGAGGCTCTGAAGTCAGATCCACCAAGCTCAGCCCCCTGGCTCTACCTTGAGGATAATGTTCCCTCTTCCCTCAGCCTCAGGGTGGAGACCTGATTTGTGAATGTTTAGACACAGACCATAACAAGTCCAAGTCCATCCTCAGTGGGACGGGCGTCCACTCTGTCACCTGAGTACAAGTGACTCCACATGTCTGTCAGCTCTCTATAGCCACCACCCAAAGCCTGAGAGATAAACTAATTAAAGAAAGAAACCACGTCCTTTGGCTGGTGGTTTCAAAGGTCTTAGCCCATCTATGTCCTCCTCCCCACCCTGCTTTGGGCCTGGGGTGGAGTCATGGCTGGAGCTCAAGCTGCTCACCTCTTGGGGGCCAGGAAGCAGAGAGAGGGGAACAGCCCAGGGTCTTGATAGCTCCTTGGAGGCCACGCCCCCAATCACCTCACTTCCTCCCACCAGGCCCCACCTTTTAAAAAGGCAGCAGCATCACAGTCTTGGCTTTTGGGATGTATTGCAGACCTAAACCCTAGCACTCCGGGGGAGACATGACACCCCCACTCCCCTGTGTCACCCTGTGTGTATCAGGAGGGCTTATCCACAGTGAGCTCCAAGCCACCCCGGCCTCCCTTCTCTTCCCGCCCTTGGCCCCTGTTCAGTCTCTGAAAAAAAACCAACGCCAAACCCTGGGCAGCTAGCTCACAGGTAGAACTTCCCCAGTCTCCCCAAGGCCCCAGCAGGCCGCTTGGAGCTTCTGTCTCTTCATGGGACAGGACTGCCCCTAGGGGCCAGGAAGTGCCAGGGACACGCTGATGTTTCTTTGGGAAGAAAGAGGTGGAGCCTCTGCCTCCCTCCTCCCACAAGTGGGAAGGGGGGAGGGCTTGCTCCTGAGACCCCACCCACCCCAGCCGGCAAACCTAGACAAAGCCCCAGCCCGGGAGCCTGGAGATCCTCTAGGGCACCCTTGAGGATGAGCAGGAGGGCACATGCATGGCCCCGATCTCCACCCAGCCCCACTTCCTGGCTTCCAGGGAGCACTGGCAGGGGGCAAGGGACAGAGGAACCTGTAGGCTCAGCCTCTGGCTGTTTCCTTAAGGGAAGGAAAAAAAAAAAAAAAGAATGGTTCCAAAGGAATGGTTCTGAAGTCCCCTAAAGTCCCCTATCTGCCTTCTGGGATTCAATTCTGCAAGGTGAGGTGACTGCTACAGACCCAACCTCACCTCCTCCAGGAAGCCTTCCAGGGTTAACCCCTCTAGCTCTTATTGCGACATGCCCACCTCCGCCAGCTCCCAGTGGACTTGCCAGAATGCTGGGAGGTAGGCTTCACTGTCCGGGGTCCCAAGCAGGTCAGGCGGCGGCGGGGATGGTACCTGGACTAAGTCACGTGGTCCCTGCCACCCCGTGGCTGGCGGTGGGAAAGGTGGGCTGAGCTGGTGTGTGGCAGCAGGTGGCAAGCAGATCAACCTATGCTTGCTGCCGGGTCTCAGGCCGAGCGCTGATCCGAGGCCCCAGCTCCCTGATGAAGAAGGCGGAGCTGCCTGAAGACCAGATCCTGGAGGCCACCATGGAGGAGTCGTCCACCAGCCTGGCCCCCACCATGCTCTTCCTGACCACACTGGAGGCCACACCTGCCACGGAAGAGTCCCTGATCCTGCCGGTCACCTCCCTGCGGCCCCAGGTAGGGCCCCCCCCCCGCAGCTCAGGGCTGGAAGGGCTCTTGGGACAGGGCAGGGCCATGTAGGAAGGCCTCTGATGCCAGGGCAGTTGAGCTCCCACCCTGCTGGGCGGGACTCTATCCTGAGGAAGAGGGCCCGGAGCCCACTCTGGGCACAGCCCAGGAAGCAAGTGCCAACCTAGCATTGGGGTCTCCACGCACAGAGGGTGGTAGGACTTGGGAAAGAGCTCACAGAACAGTCTAGTAATTTTTAAAGCTGTGTTGCAGCGGAGTGCTGTGGTTTACACCTATAATCCCCATGACTCAGGAGGCTGAGATCAGGAGGATTGCAACTCGAGGCCAACACCGACAAAACATTTATGAAACCCTCATCTCAATACATTAAAAAAAAAAAAAAGACTGGACCCATTGGGGCACACCTGTCACTCCGGTTACAAGAGAAGCAGTAATAGCAGGATTGTGGTCTAGCCTGGCCTGGGGACAAAAGCAGATTCCTATTAGAAAAGTAACAAAAGGCTAGGGGCATAGCTCAAGTAGTAGAGCACCTACCTAGCAGACACATGGCTCTGAGTTCAGGCCCTAGTGTTGCCAAAACTCCCCATATGGCCTAGGCTTAGCTGGTGCTAGTCAGCCGTTGCTCTGTCTACGCTCACATAAATGCCACTGCTGCTGTTTGTGGAAGGCTATGTAGGAGTCTACCCGCTCACTCCTGACTCTCCTCTGTGGCTCTGAGAGCTCTCAAAATAAAGTCCTTTCAAGGGATCCGTATAATGGAATAGAACTTATAAATCAGCATTGACGAGTATTTACAATTTCACTCACTCCCCTCCCCCCAACGCCTAGTTCTGGGGTTTGAACTCAGGGCCTGGGCACTATCCTGAGCACTCTGCCACTTGAGCCGCAGCACCACTTCTGGCTTTTTCTGTGTGTGTGGTACTGAGGCATGGAAGCCAGGGCTTCATGCATGCCAGGCAGGCACTCTACCACTGAGCCACCTTCCCAGCCCCAGTTTCATTTTCTGTAATTTCAGTCACTCCTGGTTGAAAGATACTTGCTTTCCCAAATGACCCTCATCTCACTCAGTGATGGCCTCAAACACAAGAAAAAGTGTTGTCTGGGCTGGGGAGGTAGCTCAAGTGGTAGAGCGCTAGCCTTGAGCTGAAGGGCTGAGGGACAGCGCCCAGGCCCAGAGTTCAGGCCCCACGACCAGACAAAAAAAAAAAAGTATTGTCTTTAGTGGTCCCAAGAATACAAGTATAGGGGCTGGGAAGGTGGCTCAGTGGTAGAGCGCTTGCCTTGCATGTCTGAGGCCCTGGGTTCGATTCCTCAGCACCACATAAGCAAAAAGAAAAAACTCAAGTGGTAGAGTGCTAGCCTTGAGCTGAAGAGCTGAGGGACAGCGCCCAGGCCCAGAGTTCAGGCCCCATGACTGGCAAAAAAAAAAAAAAAGAATACAAATATAATAAAATCATTTGTGTGTGAGAGGCCATAGTCATAATATGTGTGATTGTGCCAATCCTGGGGCTTGAACTCATGTCCTAGACACTGTCCCTTAGCTTTTTTGCTCAAGGCTGGTGCTCTACCACTTAAGCCACAGCTCCACTCCTGGTTTTTTAATGATTTTTGGGGGGGTTGTGGGGCTTGAACTCTGGGCCTGGGCGCTGTCCCTCAGCCCTTCAGCTCAAGGCAAGCGCTCTACCATTTGAGCCACAGTGCCACTTCTGGCTTTTTCTGTTTATGTGGTGCTGAGGAATCGAACCCAGGGTCTCATGCATACAAGGCAAGCACTCTACCACTGAGCTACCTTCCCAGCCCTGGCTTTTTAATGGTTGACTGGAGATAAGAGTCTTATGGGCTTTCCTTTCCAGGCTGGCTTCAAACCACAATCCTCAGATCTCAGCCTCCTGAGCAGCTGGGATTGCAGGCGTGTGTCTCCAGGGCTGGGCTTCACTTGGCTGGAACAAAGGCTCACCAATGTAGAGCAGGAGGAGCAGCTTCTCCTCTGGGGCCTGAGCCCCCCGCCCCCATTCCTGCTCTCTGGTGGGAAGGTTTCAGGTCCCCTCCTTCTTCCCCTTCAGGGGCAGCCCAGGTCTGATGGAGAGGTGATGCCCACGCTGGACATGGCCTTGTTCGACTGGACCGATTATGAAGACCTAAAACCTGAAGTCTGGCCTTCTGCAAAGAAGAAAGGTATGCCCAGCTCTCCCACACACACCGGCAACCCAGGGCCCCTCCCCGGCCCTGCGCCAGGCAAAGCCCCCATGGAGGGTGGTTTGAGCTGCAGATGCCAATAGTGGGCTGGGGGCTCGTCAGCCTGGAGCCAGCACTGAGGAAGAAAATGATGCCAAGTGCCTACCCCATGCCAAGCCCGTGGGGAAACAGGCCTGGGCCTGGGCGCTGGCCTGAGCTTTTGTGCTCAAGCTGAGTATTCTCACCCTTGAGCCACTGCTCCACTTCCAGCTTTTTTTTGGTAGTTACTTAGAGATGCGTCCCATAGACTTTCCTACCCAGGTTAGCTTTGAACCACGATCCTCAGATCTCAGCCTCCTGCATAGCTGGGATTACAGGCGTGGGCCACCGGCACCCAGCTGCTCCCACTTTAGAGAAGAAAGAACTGAGGCAGAGAGAGGTAGGGGCTTGTCTGAGCTATGCCAGGCTGCCTGCAATACCAGAGTCCTGTATTTAATCCCTCCCTCTGTTCTCCTTGCTGGGCTTCAACTTCTGATGACACACCTTGTCCCCAGAAAAACACCGGGGCCACCTCTCTGGTGACGGCAATGAGACATCGCCCGCCGAAGGAGAACCGTGTGACCACCACCAGGACTGCCTGCCAGGTACCCCCGTGCCCACACCCAGAGCCCCAGGCTGGGCCGCATGGAGTGGGGCAGGGGCTTCCCAGGCTTGGGAGCAATGCCTGAGGGTTGTTGACTCTTGTGTTGTTGCTGTTGTTGTTGTTGTGGGGCTTGAACTCTGGGCCTGGGTGCTATGCTTCAGCTATTCAGCTCAAGGCTAGCGCTCTACCACTTGAGCCATAGCGCCACTTCCGGTTTTCTCATGGTTTATTCGAGATACGAGGCTCACAGACTTCCCTGCTCAGGCTGGCTTTGAACCTCGATCCTCAGATCTCAGCCTCCTGAGTAGCTAGGATTACAGGCGTGAGCCACTGGTGCCTGGCCAAGGGTTCCTGACTCTTTATAGACAATAAATAATAACCACAAGAGAGCCAATTTCCTGAGGGTGGCTATTGTACATGAATTCATCTAATACTTACAGCAATCCAAGGGGTGGAGAGAGACAGACAGACAAAGAGACAGAGAAAGACTGAAACAGAGAGAGACAGAGAGACCCTGCCATTCTGTTTTCTACAAAGCCCATTGGGCCCTAGGGAGAGAAGGGCTAAGTGTCTTACCCAAGGGCCCAAATTGGTTTTTTTTGCCGGTGATGGACCTGAACTCTGAGCCTGGGCACTGTCCCTCAGCTCTTCAGCTTAAGGCAAGCACTCTACCTCTTGAGCCACAGCGCCACTTCTGGCTTTTTCTGTTTATGTGGTGCTGAGGAATCGAACCCAGGGCCTCATGCATGCAAGGCAAGCACTCTACCACTGAGCCACCTTCCCAGCCCACCCAAATTGGTTTTGATTGTTGTTGATTTTTATTTTTGTCAGTCATGGGCCTTGAACTCAGGGCCTGGGTGTTGTCTCTGAGCTCTTTTTGCTCAAAGCTAGTGCTCTACCACTTTGAGCCACTGATCCAATTCTGGCTTTTTGCTGGTTAAATGGAGATAAGGAGCTGAGCGCCGAGGCTCACGCTTGTACTCCCACCTACTCAGGAGGCTGAGAGCTGAGAACCACAGTTCAAAGCCAGCCCAGGCAGGGAAATCCTGAGACTCTTATCTCCAATGAACCGCCAGGAAAACGGAAATGGCGCTGCGGCTCAAGTGGTAGAGTGCTAGCTTTGAGCTGAAGAGCTGAGGGACAGCGCCCAGGCCCAGAGTTCAGGCCCCCCAACTGACCAGAGAGAGAGAGAGGGCTTTGAACCTTGTAATCTTCAGCTCTCAGCCTCCTGAGTAGTTAGGATAAATGGCATGAACCCGTGGTGCTCAGCCTGAGGAGAGGAAGCAGGGTGCGTAGAGTAACATCAGTCTTAGCCCGTGAAACAGGAGCCCTGGGGCCAGGCCTGGCTGGGCGGAGGAGGCGGAGGAGGCCAGCCGTGGGGCCCTTGCTGCGCTGGTTCTCAGCTGGGGCTGGACACCGGCAGAGGCGACCTCTGACACAGCCAGCAGCTGGAGACCGTCAGCCACGTGCCCTTTTTGTCACTGCAAAAACAAACCCCAAAACCAGAAATCCGGCACTTTCCTTGGGAGAGATCTGAGCACCATGATGGTGGCCAGACACTACTCCCGCCTGGCCCGCCTCCTCACGGGCTGTTTCTTTCTCACACTATTGTTTGAGCCAACTGGATAGACAGACTGTGTCCCCGAGCGCTGAGCCGGCTCAGGCGAAGCTGTGCCTGGGCCCTCATCTGTCAGAAAGATGCTGGCGCCCATGAGCCCTGAGGGCCCGATGTCCAAGTCTAGTTCCTAGCTGGGGTCTCCGCCAGCGCCCCCCCCCCGGGATGTCAGCCATGACACCCATGGGTAGCGTCTCACCAGATGGCCCAGCCTGCTGGGACAGGGCTGGCCTCCCAGGTGACGGATGTCCTGTTCAGCGGGGCCGTGGGCAGGGCAGGGCAGGGCAGGAGGGAGGAGCAGCGTGGCTGACCACGTGTGCGCCGTGTGTCACCAGGGACCTGCTGTGACCTGCGGGGACACCTGTGCACGCCCCACAATCGTGGGCTCAACAACAAATGCTTCGATGACTGCATGTGTGTGGAAGGTGAGACCCGAGGGGAGGACACAGGATTTCCTGGGAGAGTGGCCGGCGGTGGGAGGGGCCGGGGAGGGAGGAGCATCCCCTGGGAACAGAAAGCATGAACTCAGATCAGCTTTGCTTGGAGACCCCTCTCCCCCCTCCCCCCGTCACCCCTCCCCCCGCCCCAGTCTTGGTTCCCACTGTCTCCACTCCTGGCACTGTTTCTCAGATTTGTTTTTCTCACCCCTTGAAATACAAGCTGGCACGATCGCCAGATCTGTTTCAATCCGATCCAACCTGAGGATGCTGGCGCTGACACAGCGCAGCTTTATCCCTGGAGGGACACCGGGGCCCCGCCCGGCCTCTCTTGGGCTGTTTAACTCCCCTGAGCTCCACCTCAGGCTGCCCATGTGCCCACCTGCACACGTGTACCCAGTGTGCCTGGCTCTGTGCCAAGCCCTTCTTCCCTGGGATCCTCACAGCCATCCCCAGAGGAGAGCAATTATGGTCCCCACTTTACAGTGACGCACTCAGACCCGAGTGGTTAGGGAAAGGGAGAAGGGAGGGAGGAAGGGAAGGGAGGGCAAAAGCTAAAGTCAGAGTATTCCTTTTTTTTTTTTTTGTCGGTTGTGGGGCCTGAACTCTGGGCCTGGGCACTGTCCCTCAGCTCTTCAGCTCAAGGCAAGCACTCTACCCCTTGAGCCACAGCGCCACTTCCAGCTTTTTCTGGTTATGTGGTGCTGAGGAATTGAACCCAGGGCCTCAAATATGCAAGGCAAACACTCTACCACTGAGCCACCTTCCCAGCCCCCCACAATGGTCTTAAAGCAACTCCTGAAGGTTTACAGAAATTTCCCCTGGAATGATTTCCACACACAAAGTGTAGCTAGATAGATAGATAGATAGAGATGTAGAGATATAGACGAATGTGTGTGTGAGTCCCAGTACTAGGGCTTGAACTCAGGGCTTTGTGCTCTCACTTGGCACTCTATGACTTGAGCCACTTCTGGCTTTTTGGTGGTTACTTAGAGATAAGAGTCTCTTGGACTTTGCTGCCTGGGCTGGCTTTGAACTGTGATCCTAGGATTAGAATTTGAGCCACCCAGTTGCAGTATCCAGATATATGTTAGCTGTGGGGCTGAGCTCTTTTGTTCATGGTAGCACTCTATCACTTGAGCCACAGCTCCACTTTCCATTTTCTGGTAGTTAATTGGAGATAAGATCCTTAGATCTCAGCCTTTTGAGTAGCTAGGATTACAGGTGTGAGCCACTGGTACCCAGCAGCAGTTTCCCTATTTTTTATTTTTTTGGGTCCAGTCGTGGAGCCTGAACTCTGGGCCTCAGCTCTTCAGCTCAAGGCTAGCGCTCTACCACTTGAGCCACAGCACCACTTCCGGCTTTTTTTTTCTGCTTATGTGGTGCTGAGGAATCGAACCCAGGGCCTCATGCATGCAAGGCAAGTGCTTTACCACTGAGCCACCTTCCCAGCCCTGCAGTTTCCCTATTTTTAATCATTTTCCTTTTCACTTAGTACTGTGGGACAAAATCAATACAGGTACATTATTAACTATAGTCTATTATCATCACTGCCCTAAAAATCCCCCGGTCCACCCCTCACCCATATGCCTCACCCCACCTTGTGCCCCAGTTCCCCCTTCAAACCCATCCAGGCACTGCTGCACCCAGGGGCCTTCCGGCAGAGATGGAGGGAGTGGGGTAAAGGGAGGGAGGGAGGGGAGGAGAGGGGGGAGAGGGGAGGGAGGAGAGCAGGCCCATGGCCTGATCCTTAGCTCCCCTCTGCCCAGGTCTGCGCTGCTATGCCAGATTCCACCGAAACCGCAGGGTCACGAGGAGGAAGGGGCGCTGTGTGGAGCCCGAGTCGGCCGACGGTGACCAAGGATCCTTCATCAACGTCTAGCGCCAGGGAGCCACCTCCCCACTGGCCTGGGGCTGAGCGCCCCGAGGTCTGGAGAAGCTGGACCTGGGGTTTGTAGCTAGCAGTGGGAGATCAAGTGGGGGACAGGTGCCAGAGACCATGGACTCAGGCCCCGGACGCTGGGCCTCAAGCCCAGGGCTGCAGGATGGCACACCTGCCCCATCTGCTGGACCATGCAGTCCGCATCTCCCTCATGGCCATGTGCACAGCGCCCTCTGCTGCTGGGCATCTGCACTACCACAGGCTCAAGGTGAAAAACTGGAGGTGACTTCAGAGGCCCTGGATCTGGAAGTTCTCAGCGGTGCTTGGTGCAGTCACATGCATTGTCTCTCTGAATCCTCCGGTGGCCTTTTCTTTTTCTTTTTTAATTTAATTTTATTTTATTTGTGAACATACTGTACAGAGGGGTTACAATTACATGGGCAGGATAATGCGTACATTTCTTACCAAGCATTGCAGCCTCCT